ACGAAGCCTTGGCCCTTTGGGGATGAAAGAGCTAAAAGAAAACGTTCAAAATGTCGAATCCTTAAGCTAAAGCCAATAGGAGCACAAAAAAGAGCACATAGTTGTTCCTTGAGATTAATAATTTATTGCTTTTTCCGTTTCAAAAAAAAAAAAATTATTGCTTTTCAGGTAGTAACAAAAGAGCATTGGAATCGTGGGATGAGTTTGATAAGATGGAAGAACATTGGTTGATAATAAGATGAGAATGGAAAGCTCAAAAAACCATTATTTCACAAATTTAGCAGTTGATCATGTTTGAGATCGTTACCAATTCCCTCCTGTTATAACACCTTTATTAATAAGTATCAAAACCTAAGTCTGTAAAATATCAGCAACATCAATTATTTCTACACTAGCACATATGTATACTTGATTTAAGAGTGATGTTAGAAGGACCATCTTTTTATATCATATTTTGTAAATAGCATGATGTGGCATGTATTGGTTGAATTCTTTTTTTGTATCATTAAAAGGAAGTTCAACCATCAACCTTTACATTATACGGTTTGCAAAATATGGTTTGAAAAATAGTCTCCCTAGCTTTTTACTTGAGTTAATCCTCTTCTTGCTACTTAGTAATAGGGTCTAGTTATATATAGTTCTCTTATGGTAAGACATATGTCTTATACTTGATTCTCATCATAAATGACTTCAAATTAAATTATTATGGCTAACTTATTATAATCCTTAGTCCGCTTTTCAATTTTATTGTAAATAAATCCTACGTATTGAAAAAAAATTCTCTTCTCAATTTTAAGAAAATTCTTAAACTGAACTAACTTACGCTTTATAGTGGATAGTTAATTGAGTTTCTAACCTTTTTGTTTTTTGGGAGAGAGAAAGAAATTGATCACTTTTCAAGTGGTGGAAGAATTTCGAGGTCATTCACATCCAAAAAGCATAACTAGCGCAGATTTTTCCCTTTATTTCCATATAAAATTTTAGACTATTTTTTAAAAAGATGTTAAATCATAAGTAGAATATCATGTAATAAAACTTGAAGGCAGATAGAAATTCTAATCGATATTTCAATTTTATGTAGATTGACATTTTTATTGTGCGATGCCAAATTTGACATAAGAGAAAAGCTCGAGCCAATTATTTTTGAGTTGTTTTCTTATGTGGGTTCTAGTAATGCACTAATTATAAAACATGAAAAATTAGTTTTTATTTATTTCTTTTAAAGAGTGGGTCCTACAATTTTTTTTTTTAGTACAAGGGTCATATGAGCCTTCAAATTTACTTTGTCATTTTTTTTTTTTCGCTCCATTGTAGATGCTCTTATAATTCTGTTAAAGGGTGCATTAGATTTAACTTACGATCAACCATTAGTGATTGTACACAATAATTTTTACATAATATATAGTGTTAATTTTTTTTTCTTTTGTTACTGTTTGAACCCATTTTGCATACACTCAGTCCATATACTTTAAGCAGTTAGATGAAAGAAGTATTAATTACTCTAACCATTTCGTCAACACACCTGCAATTTGGATTAACAGCACTGGAGCTGTATAATAAAGCAATTTAGGAGCATCTTCAATTTGGATTTACATAATTGCTTCTAGTTGATTGGTTATCTATCCAAGATTTAGCCAGCGAAGAGTTTACGATTCTTACGCTAAATGAGGTCACTTCATTAGCTCCCCAACTAAGTGAGGTGTTCTATGATTGGTTAATCTCATATGCACTTCAGAGTTCAACATTCATACGGTCGAACATTATTCACCATAAAGACACCTATTTCCTTTGAGTATCTTTGTGCTTACAACCTGATACTGATTTGGCACACTTATATTCTCACAAATATAGTTGAAGCTGCTGAACTTGATGCAGAAGATCCTAAACTTCGCAATGAATTAAGTTACCTTGTTTTTAGGTTCAAGAACCCTAGGCCGAGAAGCATTCCTTCCTCGACCATAGTCGCTTAAGTGCAAAAATCAGCAGCTCGTTTGATACCACACCACCATATCTATTCTATTTGCCCGACCGAGTTGCAAGTTGGCATGCCTGTATTCATAAAAAAGACATAATTAGCTCAGTAGTTACTCAGCATGCGAGCAAGGTATGCCTTGTAAGTTTTAAAGTTAACAACCATAGGGACAAGAGAATACGTGCGGTGAAATAAGGACAATAATTGTGCAAATATATAATACATAAGCGATAAAAAATAATGTTAAAGTAGACTATGAGCATGTTCGTATTCCTTTTTTTTTTTTTTTTTTTTGGGTCAAAGATGTTCGTATTCAATGAGTAGACCAAAGAAGAGCAGGGAACCCCGCAGGCTTAATATTACAAAATAGTAATCTTAATATGGTATATTGCCCTATATTTTTCTAATAATAACAAGAATCCAACCATAAAGATAAGTAACAAGTTACAATATTATATGGTGATAAGCACGTTGATGCATTAGGACTATCTAGATTGGAATGTTATATTTTTGAATTATACATGAGGACTATAGATTCAAATATGATGGGCTTGATTTTGTGGATAGTATAAGATCTTATTAAATGCATGCCTAATTTTGACATTGATAGATTATCTGGTAGTTAAATGTTGATTTGAAGCTACAAGGGGTTACCCACTAGTGAGGGTGGGTATAGGGTGACGAGTGTGATCGAGCATGCTCGATTCAGTGTTTGAAATCTTCCACTGCAACCAAATAGTAACTAGCGAATGACTTCAGAAACGTGAATAATTGACATGTTAGACTCGTTGATAACGGAACATATTGAGACTAGATTGTTTTGATAAGGTGCATATAAAACCGCAACTAATAACTGGCGATAATGTAAATGCATTGAACTAATTGATATTTTAGACTCGTTGATAGTGTTTTTTATTTTATTTAAAAATATGCCATACAAATCAGTCGTGTGATGATCTTTTTATGGATATTTGATATACTTACTTATCTGAGTCAGATCAAAGGGCAAACATGTTGCTTACAGTAACAATACTACTCATTGTTATTTCCTTGAACAAGTCCAAAGAATAAGAAATAGAAAGAAAATAATCTAAAAGAAGTTCGATTATGGAGACATTTCCTTCGTTGTGCCTTAGAACTTAAACTGTGCTAGTCATATGACTTCTTAAAGAACAGATACAGTTTGCTTAATTAGGAGGATAACTGGTCTCATGTTATTTGTTTTGGGGACACTAAGATGAATTGTGTAAGTGGTCAACGAAGATTGAGTATACTAAACATTATCAATTTAGACATCGCGTATGGAATGATAAACAAGATCTCTAAGTTGCAATAATGTAAATTAGTCTTTAAATTTGAGATATCATCGTTGTCTTATCAATAAGTTGTTGATCTTTGATACTATAGTCGGGTTCAAAAGGATGCATCTCTAAGTGTCGTTCAAAAGGATGTATCTTTGATAATACTTAGTTTACTTAGTTGTGATATATTGCTATGTCTCATTTACACCCTTACATAAACCCTAAAGATTATAGATAATGGTTCATGATAAATGGGAAAACTTAAAGGGGGTTTAAATTCACAATTGATTCATAAAAAGCTTCTAATCGCTCACGTAGCTCGCTAATTAGAACTCTAGCATATCGTCCACCAATAAGAGTAACTTTGAAGACATCGACAGAAGTGATTAGGTCAGTTAAAGCAAGGATGTCAAATGTCTAGGTTAAGAGTATGTCGACTTGGCTTCAAAACAAATTTTTGGTTTCTTGGTCCATTAATATTAAATCCATTAGGCTTGTAGCACATGAAGATTAATGTTAGAGAGACTAAATTTGCAAACTAAATGATATGTCACCAATAGGAATAAGCAATTTTATCAACGTTTAAGTAATCAACCAATCATCAATTCCATGTTATTTAGTTTTCAAAATTTTGTCTTCAAATTTAGTCTCCATAGCATTATCCAAACCCAACAGGCCGAATAGACATCTACGACTGACAACACAAGGAGTAGGCAAGCATTTCAAATAGGTATTACCTCAAGATAAAGGACAATATGCCAAATGAGGATCCTCTCCCGATCTTCTTTGTGAAGATCTCGAGATCTTCCAATCACATTTGTTCATTGTATATCGTGCAGTTAGTTTTTGTCAGGTACTGTTTATATTTAATTTTAAATAAAAAGATTTACAATGATATCTGATCACACGATATACAATGAACGAATATGATTAGAGGATCCTCATTCCTCTATGCCTACATCTTTTAAGACTCTTAGTTCATCTTAAAGGCTAGATTGGTTGATAAGATAACAGATTAAACTGTCGTTGCTCTTAGTTCATCTTAAAGTCTAAATTGGTTGATAAGATAACATATCAAACTGTATTCAACGAGATACATGCCTAACGAATGACACAAATCCATTAAACTAGTTAACAATTACATTGGCCGATAAAATAATACACAACATAACAAATCAAATTATTTAAAAAACAAATCGCAATATGAAAAAAAACTCATCTTACTTTTGTATACTAACATTAAATAAATAAGAGATTTTTCAATCCGATCGATACATAAGATGATACATCACATGTCATTATATAAATAGTAAAATATGTGTATTAAAAAGTTAATAATTTAAAATTTCTAATCAATTACATAAAAATACATGATGTATCATTCGTATTCCTCTCATAATAAAAAATTTCTCTAAACAACGAATAGTGAAGTGTGTGGGTGGGATGGGCGTAAAAGTGTGATATTTCCATGGTGTCGATAATTGTCAACAGGGAGAGATTGTCGTGTAGTGGGACAACATGGGCCGTGTGAGATTGAAATTAAAGAGAAAGAAAGAGAGCAAAACAGACAATTGAGAGGGGCAATGACCACGATAAAAAATCAAGGATTAAAAAATTGAGAAGAAAAGAAAATTTGATAAAATATGACATATGACATATAAGGGTGTAGGGTAGGTACAGGATAGGACAGCTTTGTATTGTATTTCCTTTGTTTATTTTTCAAGAAGAAAAACCACCACACACTTCCTCTCTCTCTCTCTCTCTCCCCTACTTTCTCTTTCTCTCTCTATCTGTATCTCCTTCTCTCTCTTCAAAACTCTCTTTAACGCATATTCACAGATGGGAGGTGAATCGGGGGTGTTTAATATGGTACAAACCCGCTTTATGGAGAGAAAGAGAACCTGATGCCCTTTTTGATGTGTGAGTGGGTGGTCCTGTTTTTCTCACTTCTCTCTCTCTTCCTCTTTCTCTCTCTAGAGGTGCTTAGTAGTCTTCAAAGACTTCATCTTTTCTCTCTCATTTCTCAGTCCGAACCAACCCTGAAAAAAAAAGGCTTCAAAACCAAATAATCCCATCAGCGCCGCGATTTCTTTGATCTTGGGTTTGTTTTCTCTTCCTCAAAAACTGCATCTTTTTTTTTTTTTCGTGTTTTCTTTGACCGCTCATTATCTTCTTGCTTGCACAGATGGAAACAAGATCAGAATCTGGTTGTGGGATTTAAACTAGATTTTGTTATCTCAGATGTGTTGGGATTTAAACTAGATTTTGTTTGGCATGCTCAAAGATTTGGACTTCTTTGTAAATCTCCTTCTCTCACTCACTCTACTTGTTGGGGGTTTTGTGGGATTAATTTCTCGTCTAAAAAAAATTCTTCTTTTGGGGAGCTCATAAATCATGATCTCTTGCCTTTGTCAACTTCAAATCTTTTGTGATTTTGTTCGAAGGAGATGGATTGGTTGTTCAACAATGATAGCAAGTGGATTGTTGATTCTAAAGTCTCAAAATTTGAGAATTATTTCCACATAAAATATCACTCCAATGAACTTTTAGACTCCAACAAAATTGAATATCTTTGCTTGTTGGGTTTTGTTGTTTGCCTATTTTGTTCTTTGCTTGCTCAATTGGGTTCCTTCTTGTTTTGATTTTTTTTTTTTTTTGAAAAAAATATTTCAGATGCTTTAATTTCACTCATTCCCATCACATAAAATAACGTTTCTGGAAGGGTCTGGAGTATTACTAATAATAATCTTCCACCTTGTTCATAGTCTGGGATCTTTCCCCAAAAACCCATGATCTCATGCTCCTTTTCATTTCTCTCAATTGCAGATTGATGTTATGGATGAAGATTCCAGTGGGGTTGTTTGATTTTTCATCTCTGCTGCTTTCTGCTAGTGTTTCTGGTGCCGCTTGAAGTGAACAGTAATAGTTCTAGAGCGAGAAAGAGACTTAGAGAGAGAAAGGGTCATTATATATGCTGAAATCTAAGTTCAAGATAAGCTGTGGAGGTAGAGAAGATATTACTAGAGCTTGTGACTGTTGGGGAAACAGCACAAGTAGAAGAGAGAAGAAGAAGCAGCTTTCCATCAGATGTTATCTTTTGAAAAACTTCCACCAGATCCCCCATGTCATCATCCCCAGCCTTTGATCATCAAAGATGCTAGTACTAGTCATGAGCAGCCACTAGATCTATCTCCACCCCTTCCTAAATTCTCCATCAGGTATAATCTCTCTCTCTCTCTCTCTCCTTTCTTTCTCTCTCTAGAAATGAAAATATGAACAGTTAATGATGATCCTAACTTGGGTTTTTGTTTTTCTTACATGGGATTCTAACCGCTTCTCTTTTTTCTTGTGTGATCTCAAAGCTTATCTCATATCATCTTAGAGCTTGTTGAGTCAGATCCACAGAGAGATGCAAATATGTGTGTTGTTGTTGCTTGTGGCGCATCCAACATATGGGGGGCCTTGAGTCATGACCACCCCATCTTTGTCTCTATTTTTAGTGTGTTGGGGCTTTTTTTTCCCTGCTTTGGCTAATAAACGAAACTCGTTCACGGCTTGTCACCCAAAAAAAAAAAAAGAAACTCGTTCACGGCTCTTAATCCCCCTGAAAACCACACGTTTCTTCATGTGATTAATTTCCCTAATCCATGCTGTTAATCCACCCAACTCAATGTTAATTGTTGCTTGTGATTTCATGTCACCCTACCTTAATTTCCCATGAGTTTTAATTAGTCTCTTAGACGGTGTTATTTAGAAGAGAGAGACTTGTATGAAACGGTGATGCTCCAGTTTTAATGAATCTCTAAGACCATTTCTGCAGACATCACATGGATATTACTCTACTGTTTGTGTATTTTCTTTTTCCTTTTTAGTTCCATGGTCCATGTATATATTCCCTTCTTTGATTAGCAATTTTCATACAATAAAGTTTGAGTTCTCTTTGGACTTAGTCTAAAGGTGGCTAAGCTTAGCTCATTGGAATTGACCGTTTGTGTGAAGAATCAGACGTATATGATGTCTTTACGTTGCGCAGAGATTATGTTTTTACATCCCGGAGCAAAGATATCGAGACCAACTGGCCTTTTTCTCAGAAGAATTTGCAACTTTGCTTGAAACATGGCGTGAAGGATCTGTTGCCGCCATTTCAGAATCTTGATGCAGTAAGAAACCAACCTGTTAAGAGATGTACGGTTGAAAGTGAAAAGAAAAGCAATCTTGATGTTTCAGAATCTTCCGGGCAAGATGATCATGCAGTATTAAAGTCTTCGTCAAACGATACCAAGCTGAAGGAAAAGCCAACAGAAGCTTGTACAGAGACTACAACAACCACTTCATGCAGGTCTGAAGGAGAAAATGATTTTCCATCCACACTTACGAGTGTTTCTCAATCTGAAATAGAAGAGTCAGTTCCTACGAACAGGCCGTCAAGGTTGCCGCTTAGAAATTGATACTTCCTTGGAAGCTGCATCAGTTGAAGTACTTGAAGCTGCAGGTCCTCCCGTTGTTGTTGTTAGCAAGACTGGAAGCACGACGCGACCCTCGGCTAAGAAGTGCAGATTGGTGGTCAAATACGGTAGCCATTCAGAGAGAAGCTCAACCGAAGATATTGCATCGAATGCTACTACCATTTCAGAAACAATGACTTCAAAAACTTGCCCTGTTTGCAAAACCTTCTCATCGTCTTCTAATACCACCTTGAATGCTCATATTGATCAGTGTCTTTCTGGGGAGGCAACTCCCAAGTGGACCGGGGGTTGTAAACCGGTTACAAGGTACAGAATTAAGCCGAGGAAGACTAAATTGATGGTGGATATATATACTACTGCCCAGCATTGCACATTAGAAGATCTCGATAGAAGAAATGGTTCGAGCTGGGCCACGAACGTTTCAAGCTTTCCTACTCGGGATAAGAAGTCTGAGGTGCCGGTTGAAGAGAAAAGGCAAAGAGTATCCTCAGTCCATCCTGATGATATTGATGTCGGTCCAGTCTATGTAGACGCCAATGGCACGAAAGTTAGGATTTTATCGAAGTTTGATGATGCACCATCTCCATCAGTGCCTAAAGCGGTAGAGCATCTTCGACCAAGAAAACCTTTGAAACCAGGCAAAGGAAGCAAATTCCTTTCAGCGAAAAAGCAAAAGCGCCATGCATCTAAACATCACAAGTACCTTAAACTTGCTCCTCAAAGCAAACATTTTATCTCTCCTAAGGCTCATTCTTCTCAGGTACGCCACTCTTGCTTTCTGTATTTACTTACTTTCAGCATAGGTCTCACCAACTTATAAACAACATGCGCTTCGATGCAATAAAAGGAAAACGAATAAAGAAGCTCTCAATACGCTTGAATTCCAATGCTTTCGTTGGTGCTAACACTGCTTTTTCCATTGAATTAAAAGGTTAATAATCCGCTTTGTTGCAAATGTGGTGGTTTTTCAAAATTAACATGCGGTGAAATTGTTTTTAAACAGATTTATGGGGGTCAAGAAACATGTGGAGCGAAAGAAAATTCCGAGGAAGGACAGCAAATGGAAGAGCAGCTCAATTCTTGTAATGCTGGAGCTTTAAGAGGATGGGCTTGCTCCAAACGCACTGGTGGTGTAAAGAAGTTGAACAAGAAGCATGTGTCTCAGGACTTTTTGGTTGAGAGTGATCAAACATTTTTCGGTAACTGTCGTGTGGAGGGAAACTGTGGTAGAAAGGTAATGAATTTGTCTGGAAATCCAATTTCTTCTTCTGAAAAAAGTGGGAGCACAGAGAATGCATGTGATGAAGCTCAAGCTAGTGAGAAAAGTGACTGCTCTCCTTGGAGAAAGAGAGCAGGAAGCCCCTTTCCTGGTGAGCAAAGCCAGCATCAGTTTAGCAAAGACACAACTTTTTCGCCTAATAGTTGCACGCTAAACCGTACATACTCTGATGTGAACTTTGCACCTGTGTTGAGCAACAATACAATTGGTTCTGCTACGGATCTCACCGAAAATTTTGATTGTGCCCCTCGCACTAGCAAAAAATTATCTAAGAGTCGCGATGCCCCCAGATCAAATGCCAGGAAATCCCTCCCGCCAAAGAAAAATGTGTTGGCTATTGGCAGGCGGGTATCATTGACTGAATCCAGTCCCAGTGTTGCTATGAATTGCTCAGCTGTTAAGAATCAAGGGCAAAGGGAAGAAATAGATAAAGAGGTTGCTGCCTGGGATCCTGAGGCTGATCAACAGTATGATTTCATGCATAATTTCGCTGGAAAGCGGTTTCGAAAAGATTGTAGCGATGAAGTATCAGTATCCAGAAGCACTGTGTTGCAGAGGAGAAAATGTAGAGGTTCCTTAAGTAGCTCTAGAAGGAATGAACCCATGGCCTTGGAAGGTTCTCAATTTGCACCCGAGTTTTATGGATATGATGAAAGGGAAAAGATGGATACTTCTGTTACCATTCGTGATGAATATCTGGAAAAAGTTGATGGCCTGGGAGGTTCTGAGAGGGAAGATCAAATCCATGATGGTGACATGGTTACTGAAAAGCCTGCCCTAATAGGTTTCTGTGAAACCGAAGCAGTAACAAGTCCAACTGATCCAAGCATTAGTAATGAGCAAGAGATGTTTTGTGGTGATGGACTGGAAGATGGCACACTTGGGCAGAATGTTCATAGCATGGAGGAAATGGACTCTGATGATGGCCAAGGAAGCTATTTTCCTGAGGTTGATCCAATACTTATCCCAGGGCCACCAGGATCGTTTTTGCCAAGCCCTAGGGATATGGGGTCGGATGATTTTCAAGGGAATTCGTCACTAACCACGAGTCGAGTTCAATCATCTCAAGATCAGCTTGATTTTATTGATGGGGATTCATCAGATTCACCTGTTTCTACAACATCAACCATCTCTAATTCCAGAGGGACAAAATTGGACCCAAAGCATTCTGAACCGTCATCTTCCATAGGACAATCTGCTCAGGACAAGATCAGACCGGTCCTATCGCGTGCAGTTAGTGGTACTTCTGAAGAAATTAATGCCACTGCAGCCGAACATAGCACAACAGCTGAAAGACTTTCTTTTGATAGAGAAAACTTTAAGGTCAACAAGATATCTCTCGAGAGGGGACCTATCAGCTTCAAAAGTAACGATCAGCCTTGCTGTTGTCAACGGAAGGAGAGAACTTCACAGGGTGTGGCTTTAAATTATCAAGAATCACCACTATTAATGCGGCGAGCAATGGCACTGCCTGCCATGGGAAAGCAAATGGGTGGCAATCTAAACACAAGAACTAACAATTTGGAGTCGGGGTCTGACATGACAGACTCATTCTTTCTGAGTGGTGGTACAACATCGAGATCTGAACAGGCAGTTTTCCCTGTCGCCAAGTCATCTTCTGGTCACCATCCTTCGAAGGGTTCTCCAGATGGCAAAGGGAAGTTGTCAGGTCACAGTGAGTATGATTCTTTTAGTCCATCTGCTTCTAATTCAATACTCAGGCTAATGGGAAAGAATTTGATGGTGGTCAACAAAGAGGAAGATACATCAGTTCCACCGGTGCAGGCTCAACCACATGCGCAAACTAACCATCTAACTTCACAGTTTCCAACATTCTCAGGAGTTGTTCCTGGAAATCTTCAGAATCAGTTCTATCATTCCTTTCAACATAACAAAGTGGAGGAATGTTTTGACGCAAGTGCAGCGCACTTCAACAGTTTTAGAAGCTATAGCAATCCAAGGACACCGCAAGTGGTTGCACGAGGACCTGCAAGCTTGTTTCCAAAGCATCATACAGATGGCAATTTTGTGGCATCCATGGAACCCCACGAGTATAAAGGCAATCATAATTTTCCAATGCCACAGAACAGGTATATAAGCAAACCCATTGGAGGAGCACCCACGTTTCATGTGGAGAGAATTATGAACCCTCCTGACCGCCAACGCAAGAATGGACATTCTGCTTTCAGTGCCAGTAAAGAAATTATCATCATTGATGATGTTCCGGAAAGTGAAGCTGATTTGACCTGCAGTGTTGCAAAGTACTCGGAAGGGTTGAGGGAAAGCCAAGTAGTTTGTTCCGGCAGTCCAGTTCCAGCGGCTCCCAGTTATAACTCAAAGCGTGTGAATAATCCTTTCTCTCGTTATGAATCACAGGAACTTTGTGGATCACCAGTTTTGTACAACACCACCTTGCATGCAGTTCCCTCCAGGCTAGCCAATAATAGTAGTCCTGTTAAGTGGAGTTGTACTACTTCAGAAGGCTCAGGTGTGCTGCAGCGGGCTTCTTTTCTTGCAGCACCATCGCCAAGAGGACATCTGAGATCTACACTGTACGATTCACCGAGCTTGTCATAGAAAAACATGTCGCTTTTGAATGAGGAGAAATGGCGTGCAGTCCACATACTTATGCTGTTACTCTACCAAATGTTGGTTCGAAATCATGCAAATTTTTTTCAGGTTTCTACTTAGGCATGCTTTAAGCTACCCAGAGAATAGACAGTGTTTTAAGGAAAATCCATGAATAATATACAGTTGACATAAAAGCTTGGCTCGAAAGTGAATATTTTCGAGCATCAGTACAAGTACAGCGTTTAATGTCCCTTTTTTTTTTCTTTCCTATAGAATTTTGTTAGAGGTACTTGATGTCCTTGTGTGTTTGGCCTCTCCTTGATCAAATGTGAATTACAGCACCATGTTCTAGTCTTGAAAATCGATTATTTCTGGTTCATCCCGATTCATCTGCACATCCGTGAATTAGTACGCATTCGAGTATTTCAGAACTTCAGGCATAGATCAAACTCAATTGCTTGGAGGGCAAGAGGTTCTTTATTGTCTACGTTGGTTCATCATAATTTTCATGAAAATATATACAAACATGCATCTAAGTTATACATAAAACTGGAATTGAACATCACTCTCATTTTTTTCGGGCTGGACGAAAAAATGTGGATGCTTATTAAATGTTATGGCATTGCTAATTAATCTTTCCATGAAGAGCTTCTGAATGCATGGTTGCAAATAAAATGGTGGTCGCGGTGAAAGTTTCAGAAATTACCTTTGATCGTAGAATAACCATTCAGTGAACGGTTCAAAATTTCACGATGAAAAACTAACATGCAGAAATGTACTGCAATCAAAATTGATCATCCTTCTTACACTTGATTTATATATATGCTCTTCTTCGTCTTTGGGTTAATGTTAATATTGTATGTGTTTCTTTTACAGATAAATGAGAGGCTCCACCATTAGATTTTGCCAAGACAACGTATTTTCTAACCAATCAAATTTACATTATATATGTATTTGTAGTGGGGTCCGAGGAGTACACAAGTGAAATGCACAGGAAATAGTGACCGATGAAACCCCATATATTCAATAGAATTAGGTTAATTCTACGTAGGTTTTCAGTCACTACTTATTTTTCGTTTTTTGCTTTCTCTTCTCCTCTAGCTATAGCTATTTTGCATGGTACGCAGCAAAGTTATATATGGTACCATATTACCTTTGCTTGTTCAGGAATTCATGAGCATGCATGGAAGTTTGGCTTACCACGAAATGTAGCCGTTAGAGAGAGAGAGAGAGAGAGAGAGAGAGAGAGAGAGAGAGGGAGGTGCATTGCATGGTCAATTTGAAGGTACATATAAACGACAAGATGAAACACAAAATAAATGGCCGTTGGATTCGCATTATACCATATGGATGCTTACTAAGGTGCTGATGTAAATAGACGACGAGAGGAACTTATATGAGTATGATGTTATCGTGGTGTTATATATTAATAATCCAATAACGTCTTTCAAGAACAAATTTTCACGTATCATTATATTATAAATATAGAATATCATGATTATTGTGTACTCGTGCAATATAAGCTAAAACTATTATTTTAAGGAAGGCAAAGGGATGGAACGTGGGGTGTGTGAATTTTGCATGGTGAAAGCTGGACAACTCCCCATTACACACTCCATACAAAGACAATGGCTCTGCTTGTTTAAATTGTCGGTTGTGGGCCATTCTTTATCTTTCTTCTTGTCACTTTATACTTATTAAACCTTCTCAAAAGGAGCATTACTTGAACGTTGAAAAACTTAGAGAGTGAGAGAGAGGGGTATTGAGTACTCTTTAAGACTTTGCGAGAGAGAGAGGGGGGGGAGAAAGGAGGGAAATACTTGAGTAACGAGTTGGATAATCTCTCTATCTCTCTCTCTCTCTCTCTCTCTTTCATATTATAATAGTAATAACATTATTATGATCCTCCCATCTTTGCTTAATCTTGTTCATAATTCAAAACTTGATTCAAATATTTACTTTGTAACGGCTTGTTCGTTTAACGTTTTGTCAAACAGTTCTTAAAATTTCGAAGTTTTAAATGATATATATGTAACAGTGTGTTTAAAGTTTCAAACTTTACAAGCAAGTTGGAAACAAGTAAGTTGGAAATGAGAGTTTTTCTTTTTAAAATTCGATTCCGTAGTTTGTAAGTGAATCCATGTATCCAAAGAAGTTGATCATGTGGGTTCAAAATTAATTCTAATACGTCTAGTTTTGTGGGTGATTGCATGTGTGCATATGTTTTAAAATTTTATACTTGACGAAAAAATTGATCGTTTGCCTAAAAGAGAAAACAACCTCAATTTTTTTCTATGCATTGAAGATTTAAGAAAAACATGATTGGTTGTTCGGTATAGCTTTATTTACCAAGAGATCGCATGACCAACTTCTTTAATGCACCTCGTTTAGTGTCCGTACAAAGATTATTTTTGTACGAATTAAGATTTATACTCAAACACTTTTACTAGAAGTAATTTCATTATAATTATATTATTGTAGTTTTTATCACAACTGTGTGTAGAGGATTTAAAAGTACTTCTTCAAAAAGCATCCAACAAGTGTTTTTTCAAAAAACAGTTTCATTACCCAGAAAATAATTTCCAAATTTTTCTGTAAAAAAATAAAAAATATCTATTCCATAACCAATCACAAACATACTCTTGATTAGTTCTGCATAGCCAATTAAACTATAAGTAGAGCTCTTAATTAAAGAAAAACTAATTAAAAATTTTTGAAAACTTTGAGTTTCAACGATGAGGTTAAAATAAAAGTTAAAGTACCAGAATTAATTTTTTAGTATAAAAATATAATTTTTTATTAAAATAAACAGTACCGCAGACATTTTATTAAAACTTCTTTTAATTAATTGTTTCGTTATAAAAGACATTCCCCCACACACTTACTGTTGGGTTGAAAAAGCTGGCTTTGCACGTCTTAGTGGAAGTGGAATTTCTGTGTAAGTATGAACAAGCACAAAAGTCAAAGCACAATGATGATAATTAATTAATTTGAACACTAACTTGCAAAGGGACAAATCAAATTAAATCCAAAGATTCCATTATCTCATTTCATTAGTCATACTTACACAAATTAAGAATTTCGATTTCTCTTACGTACAAACCAAAAGTTCAAATTTCCTGATTCTGAATTCTAGACAGCAAAGTCCGATAGAGGATTTAAAAGTACTTCTCGAATAAGCATCCAACGAGTGTTTTTTCAAAAAACAATTTCATTACCTAGAAAATAATTTCTAAATTTTTCTGTAAAAAATAAAAAATATCTATTCCATAACCAATCACAAAATACTCTTGATTAGTTATGGATAGCCAATTAAACTATAAGTAGAGCAACTAGAGCTTTTAATTAAGAAAACTTTAACGAAAAACTCTCGGTATTATTCACTTTAATTAAAAAATACATTTTTACACTAAAAAGTGAATCATGGTACTATTCACTTTACCTTTTATTTTATTATTTTCGTTAAAACTCAAAATTCTCAAACTATTTTCATTAGTTTTCCCTTTAATTAATTGTTTCGTTATAACGGACATTCCCCCACGCACATACTGTTACAATGCATTGAGTTTGGGTTGAAAAGGTTGGCTTTGCACGTCTTAGTGGAAGTGGAATTTCTGTGTACGTATGAACAAGCACAAAAGTCAAAGCACAATGATGATAATTAATTAATTTGAACACTAACTTGCAAAGGGACAACTCAAATTAAATCTGATGATTCCGTTACCCATATTCACACGAATTAAGTATTTCGATCTTTTTTACGCACAAACTAAAAATTTAGATTTCCTAATTCTTAAATTCTAAACAGCAAAGTTCGAAAACGATTCAAACTCCAAAAATAGACGTTAAGCTGAATTTTGAACCCATATGGTATTGACACCTTCGAGAGGGATCATGAGTTGAGTCTGAACTCATTGACAAATTGGCAACCCTAGCAAGTTCAGATTAAACTCTCTGCATGGTCAAGAGTTAAACGCGTTCAAATTCAACTAAAATCTGCTTTAGCATTCTTTAACTTCCAGTTTACGTTAGTAATTAATATTGTACATTTTGAAGTGATTTATATTCACTTATGTTAAGTTTTATCTTGACTGAATTTGAGTTATAGTTTTAGCTTGTAGATTTTCTTTGGAGTGATAGTGCGAAGGGAGATATCGAACTTCGACAACAACTGTCAAGTTAAATGCTCTTGATCACTTGACATACAAGTTTATTGTGTCTTAGCTTGCAGATTAGAATGATCATTTTGGTTCAATTAATTGAGAAATTATTCAGTGTGACAATTACATTATCACGTATTATTATCAATTTACTCATGATATAACACGCGTATTATTTTGTTAATACTATATCATAGGTTCACGAAATGCCAACCTTAGAGTTTACGCTTATTACAACACTTAAAATGGTAACAGCTCATTCTAGTATGACCGCCCGCTCTCAAATTTGAATTTATCCAAAGAAGAAACACAATTTTTTCTCTTTCACTAGAGGAACTCAAAATGGTAAATATTTAACCGGAGAGAAACGTCTCGTTTTGAAGTGCTTTTAAAATGATTGAAATGCTTTTAGATAAAATGTTTTTGGATTCTAAAAGCGTTTGAAGCGCTTTTTGCCACAAACACCAATTATGTGTTCATTTCAATAAGTATTTAAATATTTTTTTCAAAATTTACTTATATTTTATTAAAGATTAGTTACAAAAATATTTTCATCAGTAACACTCGAAACGAATTTAAAAGTAATTCCCGACGAGAACTTACTTTACAACCGGACGACAATAATTGTAAAATGTGACGATGTACACAAAGATTTTTTACCATTTCACAACGTATGGAAACTCCACTAACGAACGCAAATCTTCACCTTTCATGCTTCCCTTCCCTTTCTGTCCCTCACAGCCCCACTCACCAACCAATCAAACTCAGAGACTGTCACAGCCTCACAGACTTCACAGAGTTGAAGGGTTTGAAGGGTAGGTTAACGAACCAAACATTCAAACCCCC